GCAGGCTGAGGCTGAAGAGGCTCAGCGGCGGCAGGCTGAGGCTGAAGAGGCAGAGCGGCGGCAGGCTGAGGCTGAAGAGGCTCAGAGGCGGCAGGCCGAGGCTGAAGAGGCTCAGAGGCGGCAGGCTGAGGCTGAAGAGGCTCAGCGGCTGCAGGCTGAGGCTGAAGAGGCTCAAAGGCGGCAGGCCGAGGCTGAAGAGGCAGAGCGGCGGCAGGCTGAGGCTGAAGAGGCTCAAAGGCGGCAGGCCGAGGCTGAAGAGGCAGAGCGGCGGCAGGCTGAGGCTGAAGAGGCAAAGCGTCGGCAGGCTGAAGCTAATGAACCACAGCGGCAGCAAGCAGATGAGGACGATACTGCTGAACTATTGAACCACTGGGTTTCCCAGGTAGGCGCATTGGAAAAGGCTGTAACCGAGGTCAAAGAGAGGGTGAGAGATCATTGTTTTGCAGTGCGCCAGACAGGTACCGATTGCGGAAAAGCATTCTATGACCTTGAGAATGCCGCTTCGAGGCTGGCATATGTGGTTGCCAGCTTGAGTGAGGAAGCCGGAACTGGACGCGGGGCGGCCGGTATGCCAGGAGGCAGGGCTTCTGCCGATGCTGCCAATGTTGAGGTACTGTCTCAATCTGGAAGGTGCTTTGGAGGGGGCGAGGCTGCCACCCACCCGCAGTACTTGGATACCTCTAGTAATGATGTCGTTAAGGAGCTTGAGTTGCGTGCCCGTGAAGCTGGATTCCATTTGGAACGATTCGTTGAAAACAAGGCTCCCATCAGCCTACAAGGGCTGTGGACTTGGATTGGGACAGTGCTGATAATTATTATGGTTGGCGCGGCCAAAAAGATATGGCGATTCCCAGAAGGGTTCGAGGATAGAGAAGCGTCAGGGCATCACACGCAAAAAGCCATGGAACAGCATGGTGTGGCTCAAAGAGACGAGATCAGTGAGAAGCGCAGCGGAGCTTCCCTTGCAGACAACCCGGCAAACGAGAGCAAGGGCGGACTAAGAAATGCGAAACCTATCATAGGGGGTGACTCTGTGAGAGGATTCCCGGCTGTAGACGGTGCGAAAAAGGATGACCATTATGCTTTCCAGAATAGTTCCCGTGCTGGGCCACCAAGGCCAGGTGCAGGAATGTTGAACGCACCGCAGCACGGGGCAGCTTCCTCGCAGCGGTCGCCGCCACCGGGTGACGTTACCGGACTGACACCACCTCAAGCACCCTTCTCTTCCTCTGGTGGTGACCGCCATGCTCCGCCGCTTGCTGGGCCACCACGGCCAGGTGCAGGAATGTTGAACGCACCGCAGCACGGGGCAGCTTCCTCGCAGCGGTTGCCGCCACGGAATGACGTTGCCGGACTGACACCACCTCAAGGACCCTTCTCTTCCTCTGGTGGTGAGAATGACAATGAGGTGTCTCCTAGTGGGGCACCGGATTTTCCGCAGCATGGTTTTGCGGACATCGTCACACCTCCGAAGGGTGATTTTGGGAGTGCGGAATCAGGTGAGTTTCTGGGCGAACTCCAGAACCTGTTTCTCCAAAGGTGGTCGTAATGTGCATATAAACCAAAATTTAGTGGTTGTTTCTGATGTCTGACGGTGCCTTGTGTGGTTGTGCTTGAAGCTTCAATTTTTGTTTTCTGTTCGCTTTTTGGTTTAGGTGGTGATGGGTTTAATGTCTGCAATTGCGTCAGAAGCGCCTCAAGAGATTTTTGATGTCATGTGTGGTTCACCAATTGTACTGCCGTGGTACGAGGGTGAGGCGGATTCTCGCGGAGTGGAACGCCGGGAAGCGGAGAAGAAGAGAAGATCTGCAAAGCCTGTTTGAAGCCCGCTTGCTGGAGGATCACTCACATAAGCAGGCCTGCATTGAGGCTGCCCTTGCCGAACAAAAAAGATTGCAAGAGAAAGTAATGCTTTGCGAGGTCTTCCTTGTATCAACGCTAATAGTGCTGCTCTGGTTGACCAACGGTGTGGTGCTGTTTTCGATCGCCTGAGCTGTGTGACTCCCCGGTGTTCACAGGAAAATGAGTAACGGTCGCAAGGACGTGATTGTAAGCAATGGACACTCCAAGGTGAGTAGTTGTTTAGACGACTTTGGGCATCGCGGAGAGGCACAATTCTAGTGGGAAGAGGTTAGACGGAGATGAATGAGGGGCCTGGAATTCGAGACTGAGGTCCGACTGGCGTCTCAAGTGACAGGAACGCCAACTCTCAACCCGCCGTCCCGCAGGATTGCAATGAGTCTGAGATGGTGGCCTCCAGGGGATCCAATCGAGAACATTCTTCTTCAGTCGTGCGCTAACTCAGGAAGGGAAAGGCCCTCCGAGGCTCGAGACTGGAACGCCAACAGTGCCAAGGGGAAGAGGGCGACAGTACGTAAGGAAGATGCGTCCTTCCCCAGCGAGACAATGTACAAAAAATGCCGAACAAAAGGATTCAGCGGATGAGCACACGAAACAAACTCAACAGGTTCTCCGTTGTTTTGATGATGAGTCCGGAAAGCTGGTTTTTCGTGCGGGAATTACCAGTGTAGCGCGAAGGCATGACGCAACGCAGAAGAAGAAGTTTGATGTGTTTGAGGTGCTGTCGAAACCAATAGTGAAGACTACACTGCACCAACCACCACAACCACCGCTACCGGAGGGAACACCACTGATTAGTTCATACCTCAGGCTACTTGTTGCATTAAAGCGCGAAGGAGGAAGTCGTGTTGGATTGTATGGGGGGTTGGCAACTGATAATGTATGCGCTAATGTTCTAAAGAATGAGTGAATTCTCTTTCAAAAAAAAACCGATCATCAACAAATGCAACGCAGTGCTGGAACCTAGCGGGTGCCTTCATGGGCTCTAGCGGGTCGACTGGCTGCTTCGGAAGAAGGCGATATACGACGCGGGTCTGGAGTGTATGAAGCAAAAAAAAAGAAAACCACGTTGGTCCGTCTGTCGACGACGCACTCGTGGATATAAAACACAACAAAAAGAGTGATGTTGTGTACTCTCGGCTGTTGGTGTCGCTGGAGAAAAAACCGAAAGAGGAGAGAGCTGCAATGTGAGGAAGAGGAAAGACGTGAACTCTCTGCATGCACGTTTCGACCAGTCACACATACACAGAGACGTTATACTGAAGGCGCTGATGTGATGTGGCGCCTGGAAACTCCTGCTGTCCTCCTCTTTTTTTTCTCCGTTTAAATGCAATGCGGAGCGGAATTCGCTCTGCCGCGGTGTCATCTTGAATGTGTTTTCAAGACTTTGTTCAGCTTGTGGTTTTGCTTTGGGGCCCTTCCATTAGTGAAGGAATGTGCTTTGGGGGATTTGTGCTGCTTTCATTGGTTCTCCCTCTTTTTGTTTCGAAAGAAAAAAAGAATATGGGAGCTCGTGGAAGCTTGATTTCTCCTCAATTATTCTTCCTATTACTTTTTTTTCTTCCTTTCTTGTACAGGTGCGATAGTACGATGGCTACCAGGGTCGCCGAATGCAATTGGCTTCTGTTATTTGACATTGCTCTAAGTCATGGAGAGTCTCTCCGCCAGAAGCGCCTGCAATACGGTAGTCTGCTGACATTTTTGCGCTCTGCCGGTCTCTTGGGGCCAAAAACAGGCGTGTACCCGATTCTCCTTGAGGCCCTTTGGCGTCTTCACGGATGCCCCACACAGTTCCCTAAACATAGTGAGCCGTCCACGCGAGAGAAATCTGTCCATGACCTTACAGTTGACTTTGACGGATTTCTTGCAGTGATGAATGTGGTGTGCGTGAGGTGCTTTCAAACGCAGAAGTGCTCGGATTTGTTGGAGGAAGAACGACCCGTATCAGAGGCAATCATCTTGTCTGCTGAGGATCAGGTGCAGCTGAAGGAGAGCGTTCCGTTCGCAGCACGTCGCTTCTTCAAGCCGCTGATCAATAGGTGCGTCGTCTTGAAGAGAATGGTGGTATCGCTGGATTCTATGAAGAATGATTGGACCCCTTACACCAATCAGTTCATAACACATATTGTTGCATCGGCGGCTAATACCATTATTGTGCCGCTTTTTCGCCGTTATGCGAAAGCTGGTCGACTATACCGCCCGGCTTTTGAAGAAATGGTAGAAAATATTTTTCCGAAACTCACACCCATTCAAAAGAAGGGTGCAGCGGCTGTTTTTGACTACCCCGGTTTTTTCGGCATTCAACATTTGATGGAGTATTGCCGCTTAGAGAACACCGAGGGTGCAACTGCGGCTTTGGAGTTAGATGCCTTCGCCGAAGCTCTCTTGATGTTAGGCATCGTGGCGTTCTCCGATGAGGCGCAGTATGAGCATCATCGCCCTCTTACGGCGAAGGTGTGGTCTGTCTTTGAAGACTACTACAGTGAGTTTGTGGGCGCACCGATGGTACCAGATCCCATCGTGGACAATAAGTATGCTTCAATTTTACCAGTTGTTAGTCTCATCTTCCCCTCGAAAGTGCCGCTTGATAAGGTGTCGTCATTTATTATTGGAGGATGGAACTTGACAGTTGATGAGCAGCGCGGGGAGTCATTTGTCAATACGCCAGATTACCCTCCACGTATCATGCAACTGGATGGAGGGAGAAAAGGGACTAGTGGTGGGGGAGGCCGGCGCGTCTCTGGGCCGCTGCCTCCATCCACCGCAGGGCTGGCCTCGAAGTTATTCGAAGAAGAGCTAAACCGTCAGAGGTGTGCAGAGTACGATTTGCCACTTTACGGTATGAGACGCTGCACTGTATATGTGAATCATTTTCGTGCCACGGCCTTTCAATGTGGACCCAATAGAGCGGAGGTTGTGTTTCCCTCATCCATGTGGGATGCTTCCATCCACAAGACACGAATTCATTTTGCTGAGTGTGGTGAAGAGGGTAGACTGACGTTAAGCCCCTTCACAAAGGCAACTATTTCATTACGAGATGCACTTGGGGAGGTGATATACAGCACAGAAGAAGTGCATCTCGTGGGGGCACCTATTGTAGAGTCTATTCCAATATCACAGATGCAGGGACTGAAGGCGGTGTTTGCTCACCATGCTACAGATGGTGTAATGCCACTGGATCAATTTAATGAAGCATGTGCTAAATTGTGTGTTGCTCCACTGGCTGATCAATGTGGTGGTTGTTCTTCGTTCATTGAGACGTACTTGAAGCAACGCATGGATGAGAGTATGATATCAAGTGATCATTCTAGAGCTGAGGAAAGATCGATCTCCTTTACTGAGTTTGCATCGGCAATAGCAACACTATTGCTACAACAATTGAATACGGATAAGTGCATAGCTAATGTACCGTACCTCCTTGGTATAGCGATATCACGTGCAACTCAGAAGTTACCTCCACTTGCTGAACAGAAGGGCATTGCTGCCCCACCGTTAATGCCACAACCACCGCCAAAATCTTGCCCCCACAATGCACGGATCGATGTACCATATGCAAACGCCTTGCGCAGGAAGGCCTCGTCACTGCGTCTCCACACCGGCGCTGAGAAGCTGCTAAGGACTGCTGGAAAGTCTGGACTAAATTCTCTACGTCTCTTGCCAGAATTTCCTGAGGAGGCCAAGGTGCTTAGTTTGGTCTCGCAATATAACGATGATGAGAATGGACTTAGTGAAAAGGTGAGTAAAGCGTCAGCGTCCTTGCGAGAGGCCTTTCTCAAGGAGGAGATGGTTGTGTGTCGTCAAGGGTGGAAAGTGGAGTGAGACTCAGAAAGCTACTGTTTTTTTTTTTGGAATTGTATGTTGCTTTACATGTATATGCATCGATATTTGTGTGTCTTACTTGGACATGTTTTTTTTTCCCTTTAATCAAGTGATCTGTGCTCTAGACCACATTCAGTGCAACAAACTTCAGTATCTGCTTGCTTCTTTGTTGTGTTTTTTTTCTTGCCAGAATAGGTTTTTGCTTCTATTCTTTGCTTCGCTCGTTTAACTTTGATGTTGTTTTTTCGCTACTTGCATAGGAACAGGAAGGCCGTCGCGCGAGAGATTTTGGTGCGGTTTCTCCGGGTGCTGAGGTATGAGAGCGGCGCCGGACTCCTCGCTGCGCCGGCATGAGTTGGTCGAGCGGCTGCTTGGTTTGCCCAACGCTGCGCGTGGTGAACAGGTCCTCCTCGTCAACGAGTTGTACGACACCCCGCTACCGACGCTTGAGGAGGCTCTCCTGCAGGTTTCACATGTGTGCATATCTCACAACGGGTCCGAGGTGCAGAACATGCTGCGCAACTTCATGCTGTGGCTGGCGGGGCAGTCGTTTAGTATCGCACTGCGGCTGGCATGGACGGTGGACTCGGTGGTGGACATATTCGGCGCCGTTGGGCTTGGTGAGCGCGTACGGGAGGTGCAGGATAAGATCGAGAGCTACGCCATCAACCGCAGAGGTGCCACCAAAAAAGGGAACAACGATGAGGTGACAGAGGCGGAGATTGCACGCAAGGAAATGCGTCTCAAACTATATAACGACGAGAGGCAGTTCCTTAACACCGTCACCAGCTTGAGCAATTACCTGCGCACATTGCCTGATAGACAGATGCGCAACACGGAGCTGAAAATCAAACTGCGTGCGATGAACGAGTCCCTGAGTAGCTTGTCTCTGATATATCCTTTAGGTGCCGATTCCGACCCCGTTATGTGGATACTGAGCATTGTGGTTGATGATTGCGTCGTGTTCTCTTCCCGAGAACGAGCGCCGTTTCTACTTCGCTTCGAAGTCATCGTGGATGATACAACTACCATGAACGATCCAACGGCCTCGGAGTTGCGTCAACCGAACGGCAAATTTAAAATCACGGCAGACTCGGAAGAGATTCTTGATACGACATGCTTTGAAGAGGCGGAGGCAGATGGGGAGTGCGCGAGTAAGTCTGATGGGGAAGGTTCGAACAAAAAGAGGGATGCATTTCGGTGTGTATTTGGGGAGATGCCACAGGAGCGTGCAGCACGCATACGCAAGAAGTCTGCGTTTGGAAGGCATCCTAAATGGGGTCTAGCCTCTATTATTGTCAAGGCTGGGGACGATTTACGGCAAGAGGAACTGGCGCTACAATTGATTGACGTCTTTAATAGGATTTGGCGTGAAGCTGGGCTTACTTGCTCTGTTCACCCGTACCGTGCTCTCTCTGTTAGTTCGGATTCTGGTGTAATTGAGTGCGTTGATGCTGCCTGTTCTGTTGATGGCATCAAGAGGTCATCCCAGGTGGTGTACATCGCGCAGTTTTTTAACGAAGTCTTTGGTGCGAAAGGCTCCGAGACCTATTTGCGTGCACAACGGAATTTTGTCGAGACAATGGCTGGGTACAGCATTGTCTCTTACATGCTTCAGATTAAAGATCGGCACAATGGAAATCTCATGATTACAAGTGAAGGACACTTGGTGCACATAGATTTTGGCTTCATGCTTGTCACTTCGCCAGGAGGAATCAATTTCGAATCGGCTCCATTTAAACTTTCACAAGAACTCCTGGAGGTGATGGGCGGAGTCGGTAGTGCGGCGTTTAATTACTTCAAGGTGTTGATGTATCAGGGAATGATGGCAGTGCGTGAGCGCGCGGAGGATATATTGGGCCTTGTGTCTCTTATGACTCCTTACAGTACCATGCCCTGCTTTGGTAGCGACCCCGTGGCTGCCGTTCAGCAGCTGCGTTCTCGTTTCCGCTTCGATTTGGAGACAGAGGCCGACTTTGCTTTGTACGTGAAGGAACTTATCATGTTGAGTGTCGATAATTGGCGAACGAGGCGATATGATCAGTTTCAAAGCCTGCAAAATGGTATCTTGTAGGCTTGTTTGCGTGCGTGTGTGTTTGTGCTTATAGGCCCTCCTCTTTCTCTCCGTGTTTGTCGGCATACGTGCGCTTACGTGCCTTCGTTTGCTGTAATGTTATCCGTTGGTGTGGATGTTGAGTCTGCGAAACGGAAGAAAAAATTACACAGAATCTTCCCGTATGAAAACATGATTTCCCCTGTGGGAACTTGTTGCTCCTGTTTACAAAGAGGAGACGTGAAGGGTCCCTCATGTTGCTCTTTGCCTATTGGTTTGATACACCATTTTGTTAACAAAAAATATTTCCTTCTCTCTGCACTTGTTGGGCTAAACGGGGAGAGTCTGCACCACACGCACACATAAGCGAGGACCATGGCGACCCGTTACTTACGCGTGGTGCGGAGGTGATCGCACGGCTGCGGCGGCAGGGAGAGCGCGCTGGAGGCGGAGAACAAGATCCTGCAGCGGCACCTTGAGGTGGTCAACGAGGGTGAGGGGTTCAACAGCCAGCGCTATAGGGACGTGGTCGACGCAACCGCAGAGTTGCAGCGCGACCACCGTCCGCTCGCGGTGCGCTGCAGCGACATGGAAGCGGTCAACGAGCGGCTGGCGCGCCTCGTTGGCGCGCTGCGCCACGAAGAGGAGGCGCTACAGGCGGTGCTGGATGAGGTACGCAGCACGCAGGCCTCGATCAACCAGCAGCGGACGGACACACTGAATGTAATGGCAGAGATGGAGAAGACCGTGCCGGAGAACAAGGGCATGCTGAAGGGTGTGCAGAAGGCGATCGACCAAAAGATCGATCCCTTGAATGCACTCGCAAAGGAGATTGTTAGTTGCACCAACAAAGCCGCGGGCCTCCAGAAGGAGACTGAAAAAATGGGCTTCGAGCGCCTCACTCTGGAGGCGGGGACAGTGCTCCTTGAACAGAAAACGAGGCAGCTGGAGCGCACAATCAACTACCTCCAGCATGAGTCCTCACAGCTAGAGGCAGCAACAAATAAAAAAACAACAACAACTGAGCTTGTAGAAACCAAGAAGAATACGTCAGCAGTTCTACTTGATCTCCAACTCCAAGTGATTAGGGCGGAAGAGGAAATGACACAGATGCACAATACTGGGGAAAAAGAAAAGAGTCTAACTGGGCGACATAATCTGTGGCAGGCAAGTGAGTTTCATGCAGAAACGGAGGTTCTTCTTAGCGCCCACCAGGAAATGGCTCGAGAACAGGTCTAAGTGAAGAGAGTGTTAGTCTTTTTGCAGGAGAAAGCATGACGCCCCCCCCCC